CGGTATTTTATTAATCAACCTTCATCATGAGTACCATGTACCGCTGATCCTCTTAAGGCGATCTTCATGAGAAATAAGTGTATCCTGATCCTTAGCATCTACGCAGTTTTTTGGCAATATGCATTGAAGGAATCTCTTTTTTGAGAATCTTGCAGGCAACCAGTTGCCAATGAACATGAGACATTAAAACTAAGTTCATGGTATGAATGGTTATATATTGTGCATGTCTTGTTGTGAAGGATTATTATCAACAGTATAGATTTGATAATGAGCAGATCTTCACCTTAGTCTCCATTGGTCACTTACAATAATATTTCTTTTGCATTTTCTGCAGTTAGGATGTGGTCTTTTTATTAGTTTGATGTAAAGTTTGGAAAATGCATTCTTCCATAATATCTTCATGAGATTTATAAGCAGCCTTTTAGTGGTCATCCACTTGGTATCTATCTTTGGTATGGTCTCCTTGGTATTTAAGGACTCAAGTGAGCTGCCAGAGGGTGTGAGAAATTTAGATATGGTCATCATTTGGTAATGACAGGGTTCATGTGGCTTCTCATTATGGTCTGGGTCCACTTATTTTTCGTGACGTTTCTTTGGGTTTAAAGTTGTTTAAGGGTAACTCATTCTATGTCCTATTGTGCAAAGTAACTTTTAACTCTGCAGCGATCTTCAATTTGGCTATACATCTACTGTCGTTGACATATCCAGTATCCCAGCCTTCCAGGAGTAATATGGTGTGCTGATAGACTAACCAATCAAGTGTAACTAGGTGTTCATTGGATTCATGGAATTTCATGCAATACAGAAATTATTTTGTTTCTGGAATTTTGTATATGTTGCTTATTTTTAGTAGTTTCTTACCAAGATTTTTGCACTATATGTATCAAAGATTTAATCTAAGCAGACTGAATGACATGCAATTGACTGAAAAGAATTGCTTGAGTTGTTATCTTCTTCCTAAAAAGCTCCTATGTAAGAGTAAATGCAAATTTGCTCGATACTTATTAACTGTGATTTTCCTAGAGATAAAAAGATGCCATTGATTTTAGCCTGGCAACATATTGTAGTGTAGGAATAAACCCTCCTGTTTTTGCATTTGCTTGGATTGCTTCTCTTTGGGCAAAATAAATGTTTGGTTCAATATTATTTGATTAATGATTAGCGGCCTTCTATAAAGAGTCATTTTTTGGGAATATAAAGGAGCAGTTTGATACTATTTGTCATAAATATCTTTTCAGCTCATTAGAACATGGGTAGTTGGTATTTATTTTATTAGTTCAAATCATTGTTAAATCTCAGTTTTTACTTTTTATGTCGCCTTTGCTCATTGAGGCTGTCTCACTTGAGTATTGCATGTATATTTTTAGCCGATGGTGAAGAGGATCATACTATGGAGGAGAAGCTATTATCGATGGGAATCTTAAACGAAAGTGTTGGCAATGATCACGAGGGAATTAGACACACATTATTCCCAAATGACCAATCCATGAATTCTTCATGGTTGACGGAGGCCTATCAATGTTTTGATTCCTTATTCACAGACCATGACATATCTGCAAAGAAGGTCTGTTATTGGTGGACCACAACTTTTTGCATCAGAGGGCATGCAAACCTTTTTACTGCATAAAAAATACGATATCTTTTTCAGGTGCTATGGCTGAATTGTCCATTTATGCAGATTAGGTTTGCCATCAAGTCAATGAGTTCAAATGATGCATGCAAATTTCTGGCTTTTATGGTATCTATGTTGAAGTCCAGGTTTGCAAATCATATTTCATTTCTCTTTGCCTTTTTTCACCTTTTACGTCACAAAATGGAAGGTACCCTTTGTTCTATTTTGATTCTCTCAGCTCACAAAATGGTTGGTTCTGTTCTCCTCTTTTGTTTTTCTAGCCTTGTTTACTTGATAATGAAGTTTTGCATTTGGTGCTCATGTAATGTTGGTCTCAGATTTATATTTCTTTTCAGTATTACCGAACGCTTATTTACACAGTTCTTCTAGATGCTTTAAGCCAGCTAAAGCATTCTAATTCCACCACTTCTAATTCCATCTAATTTGATCATAAGCTAGGCTTTATGTATTATTTGTAGGTGTTGTAATTTCATTGTAATTCTCTAGAAAGAAAACCTATTACCAAAGTTCCCATGAGGCCCGGTTTTCAATTCAGGCAGTCATTCATCCCTTGGACTTTTCAAATTTGTCTAATTTGTAATTATCTGAGTGCTCTTAATTTTTCGATGGCTATTCAATTTCCTTCTATTTGTCCATTAACACATGTAGGTGTGGCAACGGGTTGGGTCAGGTCGGACCAACCCGGACCCAGACTAAAAAAAAAAATTATGGGCCCCAGACCTGAATGGACCTGGACCCGACCCAAAAATAAAAAATATATATATTTAAATGTTATGTATTTTTTTCTTTTGTAACGGATTAAATGTTATGTTAAATATATACATGTATTATTTAAATGTTATAACTAAAAATATATAAATATATATACTTAAAAGTGAAAAGTTTATATAGATCCTAGGTTCTAAACAATCAAATTAAAGCCTACCTCAAAAAGTTTACTAGATGAGGTTGTTTTGGTGCCCAAATATCCTCAAATTATTCATCTCGACATCAAGATGCAAGACATGAGGAAAAAATGGATTTTAAGTTTCGCAAGTAATGCATCTTGTGATGCATTTTAGGAACGTCAATTTTCAAGATTTTCAAGTGTTCATAGATTTGCTCGATTTACCTTATTTTTGAAGCTTTAAATTTTATAATTAAAGATGAAAATATATTTTAAAACTATCACAAAGATTTCCAATATTGAAACCGCATTTCTTGATAGTATTTGAAGGTGGGCTCTAATTTGATTGTTTAGAGCCTCAGCTCTATACAAACCGCACCCATACTTAAATATTATTAAAATACTATATATTAAATATTATTTATGTAATAACACTATTTGATTCGGGCCTACTTGGACCTGGACCCATGTCGGGTCTGGACATTGGGTCTTGGGTTGGGTCCGGGTCCATTGCCTCCCCTAAACACGTGCTTTTGGCCTTGTCAAGGAATGGAAAATATTACACTCATGACAATTAATTGAGAGCACAGAAATGTACCATGGATTTAAGATTCTAGGAATTCAAGTTTTTGAACATTACTAGGGATGCTTTTGATTGAACCGCTCAAATATGGTTTTAGTACAATCAATGTTAGCCATTATAATATAATGAAACCACACTTCTAGAAAACCATATCTGTGGCATTTGTATGACCCAAAATTTTTGCACACGCACTCTTTTCATCCCAACCCCCTTCCTCCCCACCCCCCACCCCAAAAAAAAAAGTCTGCACATTAGATATAAGACAAAATGAGTCCAACAATGAATCTAAAACAGTATATGTTTAAAAATTAAGATGAAATAAATGGCCCTAATATGATTTTTGAAGATTGTTTCATTATATTTTTTTGAATGTTAACTTTTATATATATGGAAAAAGTTTATATAAGGTTTCAACCTTATAATGTAGAACTACAGATGCACCTCAAAAATCCATCAGAAAAGTTGTTTTAATGTTGAAAAACTCTGTGATTGATCATCTCGACATCGAGATGTATGACTATGAAAATTAAAAAGATTTGGAGTCTCAAAAATAGTGCATCTTACAACATATTATATACACCGTCTATTTTCAAGATTTTCATATGTTTATAGATTGACTTGATTTTAACTATTTTTGAAATTTAAATTTTTATAATTAGATATAAAAATAGATTTTGAGATAATCTCACGAACATTTTACATCAAAATTATATATTATGATAAAATTTGAAGGTGCTCTATAGTGGGATTGTTTACGGTTGCAACCATATGGAAACCACACCCTATATATATATTAAAGAGACCCGACTATAGTTGTTGGAAACGTCTATGATTCCAAATCATTTCTGGAATTGGAATCACGAAATCGTGTGTATCAAAAGTTTCAGAATCTAGGAATCACTGTTCGTACGATTCGGATTTGAGAAAAATGATTCTCACTATTTCAAAATCGCGAATCAAAAAATTAGGAATTGTGTGTTTCCTATTTGCAAGAATTGATGTCCCTTCATGTTGGAATCGTGTTTCATACCTATATGGAATCACACATGACCCCACTTGTTTCGGTAGTTGCTGGAATGGTGATTCCTAAAAATATGGAATCGTCATTCCTAAAATTCTAGAATTGTTGTCCCCATCAACTTGGAATCAACATTCTCACCATTCCGGAATCGTGATTCTCCCCATATTGGAATCAAGATTCTCCCCTTACTAGAATTGCGAACTGATTCCCTCCAGTATATGAGAGAAGTATTTAGAAAATATATAAATTTACCCATTACTACAAGATCGAATTTTGGTATGTATATACTCCGTCCAAGACTTCAAGTACTAATGTCAACGTTTATGAAATCTTTGTGGACAATCCCATACAATGGACTCGGTCTACTGATAACCCTATTATGCTTACAAGGTCTGGAGCTAGTCTACGGCATACAAGGAGTGAGAACAAGGGCAAGCTCCCTTTATCTCCTTTCCTTGAATTATAAACTAAGTACATAACATAGTAATTCTTCTTTGTTAAATGTAGTTTTGAGTCTTTGGACTTTTGAAAATTGAATTATTCAATTTTTAGTCATTTTCTCAGATATTTAATGATTAATTTGATCTAAAACACCACACAGGGCACTTCGCTCATATCCTTATTATCGTCTTATTTTACTTGAAGAAAAGCATTTTTATCCTCTTATTCAACTTGAAGAAATGATGATGCCGATCATATATTAAACATTATTACATTAGTAGTTTAGTGCCAACACCATTTACCAAACATTATTAAATTTGAAATAACATATTTTTTTAGTATTATTTATTCTTAGTAGGAGTTCTTAAAAAGTAACATGGAATGAATGATGAAAATTAGTAAATAAGAAAATAAAAAATGTAACATATTACTTATATTTTAAAATTTGATTTTATTGCCGTGTGCAACAACTTCAAATTCTCTCACGCTCTCATACATGTCGCGCTCACTCATGATTGAGCACACATCGAAGGGTTTCTGCTCTCCTTATGCTCACATATTACTCATATTTAAAATTTTGATTTTATTGCCGTGTGCCACAACTTCAAATTGTCTCATGCTCTCATACTTGTCGCGCTTACTCATGATGGAGCACATATCAAAGGGTTTCTGCTCTCCTTATGCTCACATTGATTCCTGACAACATGGATTCGTAATTCCTTAATACTTTGAATCAACGTTTAGCATAAGTAGAATCGCATTGTTGTGTAGCAAGGAATCACAATGTTTGTAGCAAGGAATCACAATGTTTGCGATATAGAAACTTGATTCCAAACAACATGCATTCGCAATTCCAAAAAATTTAGAATCAATGTTTCTAACAAGGAAAATCGCATTCTTGTGAAGCTAAGAGTCATAAGGTCCTCGATATGGAATCTTGATTCCGGCAATCCAGGAATCGAGATTCCTAAACTAGGTGGAATTGCGTTCTGCAAAAAATGGAAACGTGATTCCTTTATTTTAGAATCGACTTTCACCTGGGGAAACGACGAATCGAGATTTTGAAACGGAATCGTACCCTCATAGGCGATTCGGGTAACTATAGTCTCGACAGGGTGAGAAAGTAGAACCTAGCCACAGGAGGCTAGCAGAGGTACAGGGGGGAGAAAGAGAGGGGGATAGATAGAAGGCATAATTAAATGGCCATCTTTTTTATAGTTACATTGAAAACAAAGCAACCAAGAAAAAGAAACCCATTCAAAACAAGTTGTCCTTCACGAAGATAGTCAAATGAAATCAAGGAACTTCTTCACTAGTTGCTCCTGCTTTGGCCATGGTGTCTACATCGTGGTTTGCTTCCCTTCACAAGTGCTTCCATACGACCCGAAGTCCCCCGCAAAGATGGGCTATTTTGTCAAAGATGTGAAATAGAGTCCGAGGGGAGGAAGAAGAGTTCTAGGCCCAGGTGATCACGTTCTTGGAATCTCCCTGTACTGTGACTTATTCAAACCTATGTTGTGAGAGACGCCTCATACCCTCTAGCAGTGCCAAAGCTTCTACCGTCATTGATACCTTGTGGCTTATGAATTTGGAGATAGTTGCTATCGGCTCCCCCAAGTGGTTCCTAAGGATGACACCTACTCTTGAGGGACCTGGATTCCCTAAAGAACACCCATCGAAGTTTTGTTTGAAGTGTCCCAGGTTCAACGGGCTCCAGTATGAGGCTTTAGATACTTTTCTTTTGGGATGGTTAAGTAACGCATTTCAATTCTGGTGGAAAGCTGTTGGGGCAACTCCTTTGAAGTATTTGTGGTTTGAAGCCCAAAAGATCAAGTTTGCTTTGATTTTGACAAAGAGGAGGTTTGGGGTTGAGGATTCTCCTTCAAAAATCCTCTGGTTTCGCTCAATCCAGAGCGCCCACAAAGTTCCTGCTGCCGCCGTTTTCCAAAGTTGGATCCCTGATTTGGACCACGGGAAAGGTTCTATGGCACCGAGGATTGCTGCTGCATCTTTGGGAGTGATCCACCGAATTTCAAAGAGTGATAAAATTTTACCCCACACCTCAAAAGCGAAGGGGCAAGATAAGAATAGGTGGTAGTTGGATTCCTCATCATTGAGGCACAAGGAGCAGCGGTTAGGCATAGAGAAGCCTGTCCTCTGGAGTTTAACCACAAAAACATCTGTAATCTTTGAGGGGCAAACGAGTTCCAAGCTTGCGCCACTCGGGAGGTCGGATTTAAAGGGAAGGTTGGGGGTTGAGAGTGAAACAAGTAGAAGGATGAGACCGAGAAAGTTCTTGAGGCAGAGGGAGTCCAAACCAACCTGTCCTGACCTTGAAGAGCTAGGAAACAAAAGGAGAGAGAATGAGAGAGGTTTGAGAAAAGAGTAATCTCTTCATCAGAAAGGTCTCTCCTGAAATTGGGGTGCCATGATCAGACAGCTTCTGTCTCGATCATTTCCTCTGAAACAGTTGCTCCTTGGTTTCTCTCCAATGAGAATAATTTTGGGAACCGTTCTTTGAGAGTTTGTTGGCCAAACCAAAGGTCTAACCAGAATCGACCCTATTTCCTTCTTTTGGGTGGAGCCTAAGGCCTTTATTGAAAGAATGAAAGGTCAAGATAATAGATCGTATATTGTTTCATTATATTGACTACACAAATATTGCATCAAATCACTCATATATATATATATATAGGAGAAGTCTTCCCAACGCCTATAGGCGAAAATGAACAGTGATTTCACCTTACCTTCATCACTGTCCAAAGTTCATCCCACAGTTACGATTGTCCGGTAGTGTTTCATTTTTCATTTTTTTTTTCTATAAATCAGCATGATTTGAAATTTGGAGCGTGTGTACATCTTAGTGAGGCGCACCTAAAAAAAATAATTCGTGAAAAGACAAATTGACCAAAATACCCTCCAAAACTTTTGAGGGGTATATTGGTCAATTTTTTTCATGTAAAATATGTTTTTGATATTTTTGTAGATTCACCTATTTTTGATGAACACACGTTCCAAATTTTAAGTCATTCCGATTTATAGACAAAAAATGAAAAATGAAATGCTACCGGATAATCGTAACCGTCCGATGAACTTTGGACGGTGATGAGGGTAGGCGAAATCACTGTTCAGTTTTGCCTATAGGCCTTTTATAGTGTCTTCCATATATATATATATATATATATAATTTTCGCACGAACGATCACCGGGTGCAGTCGTACGCATTAGTTCCTTAAAAAGATGTCCTGACTCAGGTTTGTGCTTCTGTTTTCTTTTTTTCTCGTTTTTTTTTTTTGGGGCGGGGGTCGCTATGTATGAAGTGCATAATGTGGACCAAGATTCATGTAGCTGAATTTAAATAATTGGAGTAAGGCTTGGATGATGATGACGAAATGCATAATGCCAACAGTTCCTAAAGGCGAGTTTTATGTTTCTTATAGCAAAGGCATGTGGATTGTGGTTTCAACATAACCATCATGAATTGACAAAAAATGAATAAATAAAAACACAATTATCATGAATTATTGGCATTATGGGTGTGCTTTCAGACCTTCATTATAGAGGAGAATATTGTTGCCTTGAAGTGCTGGATTGGCCATTCTTCAAAAAAGAACGCTACTGGAATGGGCAGTCAAATTCAGCATCAAGGGTTTTTTGAGCTCCAAAAATGGTTTGTACTTAATTGGCAAGAAGGCTCTGACTGAAGGTTATTTCAATGACTTCAACAGAGCACACTTGAAGAAAATAACATTTGAAAGTTTTAAAATTGAAAAGAAAAGAAAGATGGCTAGAACTGTCTAACAATGACAATAGTCAAACTATTGCAAGGCAGATTCGGGCACCCCTTCCATACATATGGCCTGGCAGTGCCCATAACTGTACTCAGGTAACAAAGCTGAGTCATATCTATTCTAGGTAGGAGATGTATTGATCTGTTGGAAATCAGTTAGTTGACATTTAACAAATTGATATTCTTTCTGTCCATTTGCTTTTCTTTGTCCTATATTCTTTGAATAGGTTTTCTCCATTCTGTATTCTTTGATTGTATTTTGCTGTGCCAGCCTATTCTTTCGCTCACTTGCAAATTCAATTTCTCGCTGACTGTTCCATGTGGTATACCGTTTTAAGTCCAATAAATGTCCACAACTTTGGCTAAAATGATCATAATGAGTCCACTTTGTTGTTCTCTGTCGTTACTTGCCATTATTTGTGATGTAAAATGAAGTAGAGCATGATCTGCATTTTCGGAATCCTGGTCTCTGAATAGTAACTGATAAAAATTAAATGGCAGCATGATCAAGCTACAGAGAGATTATAGCTTTTTTTTTTTTTTTCTTTTTTGGTTTTTGCAGGTCAATCAATGCAAGTCATGTTCTTCCTTCAATACATGGTATTTTGGTGAATCATGGGAGGTACATTGCAGCTAAGGAGCCCTACAAACAACTTCTTGACACTTTACATGAGGTAATGTGCTGGGAGACATCATTCTATGTTTGCAATAAATAAAGAAGACCTATACAGTGGTTTTTTTCTATATTACATGAAGTAGTTATGCTTCTTTGTACAGAAATTTTCAGAGTATCTGCACCACTCAGACTTTCAATTTACTTTCAAATTATATCTCAGACCAATATACTTGTATCTGGCCTCGAGCTTGGCACTCCTCACATTAACAAAGTACAGGCGTAAATGTAATGTGATTCCTTTAGTAAGCCATAAATTTTCTATAAATTCAGGTGTAATTTTTAATCTTTGAAAAAACCTAAGCAACAACTAGAAAACTCGCACACTTTTAAGGAGGAGAGAAGTCCCATCTCCCATGCGACATCATCCCTTGTTTTGCATTTTTGATATCTTCCATCCCTAGGATCGCAACATTCCCCTAGGTGTGTGGCAAAACTTTGAAACTTCTAAGCACTGTAATCTCCCCCACGATGGCCTTCATTCGTTAATGGGACTTTCACATCCCCTTAATCCCACTTAGTGGCATTTAGTGAATTACCCTCAACAATACAGAAACGCAGATCGGAAGTTTTTAAAATATGGACATCTAATAACTGTTTCTCAATATCAGCTTTAACGATAAAGAGCCCCCTATACCACTTTAAGGTATCATTATGTGGAAAAAGATGATTCCTCAGAAACCCCATTATGAAAGGGGAGGAGAAAACGAAAAGAAAATTCCTAACACCCCCATTTCGTTTGGCATATCCATCAGAAATTTCATTTGATGACTCCTGTCTGGTTGTATCTGGACTCTGGTCCTCAGTCTAAAGACCTCAATGGAGTGGTCTATGTTTTCTAAAACTTCTCAGCTCTTCATGGCATTGCTGCTAATCAGAAGGCCTAGCGTGTTGTTGCTGTCTTTTATGACATCAAGCAGGTCCTGCTGATGAGAAAATCATGTTGTTTCTTTCAACCCAGATTTTCCTGTCACAATAAATGATGCTGGCACAAGGTGGCTCCCTTTTTGTTTGACTAGTTGAAGCCATAGCCTACAAAATTGATATAAAGTACTTCGGAATCGTAATTAAAATATTAATGACCTCGACAACCCTATCTGTGCCAATGTTCAACTTCAAAATGAATCTCCATTAGTGAAAGAGATGATTTAAAGATCCCGTCCAGTTTCCTACAAACTATACAACACAACTGCGATTAAAAGAGCCTGAAGTTTAAAATTATGAGCAGTTAAAATGTCATTTATAGCATAACCATGAAAGTCAGCCGCTCTGATGTATGAGGAGGTGGTTCTTTTTTCTCCATGTCAACCGTGTTGGAAAACTGGACTTGTACTACAAGCATATGGAGATGTAAATAGACTTGAGACATCTGAAAATATCCAGATCTTACATGACTGACCACTTCCATTGTCAGCTGGCTCCTCTCCAATCAGAGTTATCCTGCATGAGGTATGCATCTGGTATCCTGATTGGATGTCTTGTAACACGCCACCACACCACTCTTTTGGATTATTTTTGCCATTCGACTTGTGTTGCAACCGTCCATTAGGCATCCATTTTGAAGTTAATAAGAAGGCTTCAATCCATTGCAATTCTGCTACTCTGGAGGGGATCATACCTAGAAATTCAATGATGATTGTGTAGAGGCCAGGAGACAAAAATCGGTTGATACTGTGAGGTCTCAATTTTTATTCAGGAATGACTGCTTAAAGATTAGCAATTCCCGTTTTCTTCCCCTCTCCTGGCCCCTCCAACAGAAAGCTCCATTGACCTTTTGCTGTTGATTGTCACTAGTAAACAGCTGGCCCTGATGCCCTTTTTCGTACAAAAACAGCAATGTTGGTAACCTGTAACTACATTAATACAGTACTGTCTTTTTCACTCTAGAAAAGGGTCACTTGCCTTTGGCCTCTGAAGCTTCTAAATACCCTCCTAGGCTTCATTAACCAACTTAGAGATGTTAGAGTTTGATGCACAAGTCCACATCCATGTAATCCATCTCTACTGCACAAGCCAGATCTTTGAAACAAGTGACTTAAAAGCCTCTAGTCTTCACAGCCAAAAAAAAAAAAAGACAGAAAAGATGGTGCAATTTACATAAGCTTTACTTTTCAGAAATCACCGCTGTTTGTAAGTCATAAGCTTCCAATCTACTCAATTATCTGGGTAAAGAAACATGTTTCTTGTCTATATTGTTATAAGATCTTCCTCCCTCTGTTTTTACCGGCATTTCTCCTTCATTTAAAATCATCTTTCCAAATGCTTTTACCCCCATTTTATCCTTTGTTCGTCTTTCTAATTGTTTTTTACTGGCATTTCATCCTTTGCCTGGTTTCACCATTTCTGTACAATGAGAGTTGTTTCGCATAGTACGTTAATTATTTCAGTCTAATTGCTAAAATAAGATGTTTGAACTTTGAACTTTCAGTGCCAGATACAAAACTCATTGCTATTAGTGTCATGCCCAGCTTGCATCACGAGAAGTTCTTGCTGGCAAAATTTATTTGCACAACTACAAATAAAAAATAGGAAAAATATCTCCGTACACCCTATTTTGGTGTACTATTTCCCAATGGACCCACATATTTTAAAATTTGCTAGCGGCATAGAGGTTCCGGAAAACATATCTTCTAACCCCTTAGACCCAGTTGACCCCCTTTTACCACCACCTTTTACCCCAAACAAAATCTAAAAAGACAGCTCTATTACTTTCTAAAAGATAAACATTTTTTTTCTCCCTCTCTCTCTCTCTCTCTCTCTCTCACCTCAATCCCCCAACCCTCTCCCTCTCACTCTCTTGCCGCTCTCCTCCAAGCCCTCTTTCTCTCTCTATCTCCTCTGTCCCCCAACCCCTCTCCCTCTCATTCTTGTGCAAGAAGAAGCATCAAACAATCCAGAAATTAGGGTTCTTGCTGGTTTTTCATTCCTAGAAAAGGCAGTCTGCCTTTTGATCGATTTCACCCTCTATAGTCAGTCATTCCGGCTGATTCTTGATTTGTTTTAAAGGTTTTGAGTTAGCTACAAAGCCCTAATCAGATGGAGCTTATAAATTGTCATTTCGATTCGACAAGGAGCCTCAAACAATCAGAGTACGTGAAGTTCTTGTTTGCAGAAAACCAGTCTACTTTTTTATTGATTTCATCCTCAATAGTCAGTCATTCGACTGATTCTTGATTTGTTTTGAAGGTTTTTGAATTAGCTACAAAATCCCTAATTATTTAGACCTTATAAATTGTCATTTTGATTCAGTAAGAAGCGTCAAACGATCAGAGTTTATGTGGGTTTTTGTTTCCAGAAAAACCAGTCCACCTTTTGAACGATTTCATCCTCTATAATGGGTCAATCGACTAATTCTTTATTTGTTTCAAGTTTTTTGAATTAGATACAGAAGCCTTAATCAACTGGAGCTTATAAATTGTGATTTCGATTCAATAAGGAGCTTCAAACGATCAGGCCCTTTTTTTGAAAAAAAACGAATTTCTATTAATTTGAATTTCTAAAAATAAAGTTATAGCCACCAGGCTCAAGGAGGTCCTTCATTGGATCATCTCCCCCACCCAAGGTGCCTTTGTTAAGGACCGACAAATCCTCAATGGAGCTTCCGTTGCTCACGAGTGTCTCCACTCACGGCACCAGTCTCACTCCTAGGGTTAGTTATAAAGCTAGACTGGGAAAAGACGTACAACCATATAGATTGGTCTATTCTCGATCAGACCCAGGATGGAATGGCTTTGTTCCTTCATTGGATCATCTCCCCCACCCAAGGTGCCTTTGTCAAGGATTGACAAATCCTCAATGGAGCTTCCGTTGCTCACGAGTGTCTCCACTCACAGCACTAGGGAAAACTCCTAGGGTTGGTCATAAAGCTACACTGTGAAAAAACGTACGACCATGTAGATTGGTCTATTCTCGATCCAGGATAGAATGGGCTCTGGTCCCTGGTGGCACAATTGGATCAAGGGGTGTGTATCATCTGCGTCCTTCTCTATCCTCCTCAACAGTTATCCCATAGGCTTCTTTAGGTCCTCTTGTGGGCTGAGACAGGGAGACCCCCTCTCTCCCTTCTTGTTTGCTATTGCGGCTAGGGTATTCAGCCGGTCCATTTCGGGCCTCTCTGAAGCTAGCCTTCTTACAGGCTTCCACTTAGGGGCCCATGGGCATGTGATCTCTCATCTCCAAAATGCGAACGACACCGTCCGCTTTTGTGATGCCTCAACTCAGCAGGTTGATACCTTGCGGGTTTTCTTTAAGTGCTTCAAATTCGCAACGGGTTTCTGAGTTAATATGGCCAAGTCCTCCATGATGGGGGTTGCTTTGAGCAGCCATTCTGGCGAACTCCTAGCAGCTCGGTGGGGTTGCAAAGTCGACCATCTGCCTTCCACCTACCTTGGCCTTCTCCTCTGTATAGGGAAACCAAAGCAAGGTTTCTGGAGTCATCCGAGAGACAAATTTGATCAGTGTCTTGCTGCCTAGAAGGGTAGGTTTCTTTTTCCAGCGGGCAGCACGACTTTAATTAAGGCAACCCTATCAAATATTCAAGTCTTCCAAATGTCCCTTTTCTTTATGCCTGCCTCGGTTCTTGCACGGTTGGAACAATTCATGAAACAATTCCTTTGGTTAGGAGGGGGACGTCGCAAATTCCACCTCATCTCATGGGACAAAGTTCGCAGACCTCTTTGGGCTGGCGGCTTGGGCATCCGTAGGATTAAGCTCTACAATTTGGCCCTTTTAGGTAAATGTTGGTGGCGCTTCGCCACTCACCACAACCACCTTTGGAGATAGGTGCTTTCATTGAAATATCGTATTCCCAACTCCGCTTGGTTCGCCCTAGAGGGTGGGCTTAACAATTCCTTTGGGATTTGGAAAGCCATTAATCGGTCTCTCCCTCCTTTCAAGGCTCACACTCGATTCCGAGCCAGAAGCAGCAACAGGATCCAATCTTGGTTGGACCTCAGCATGGGCCACTCCCTGCTTATGGAAAGGTTTCATAATCTCTATCGTCTGGCCTCAGATCGAGGCGGCAGTTCCGGAATACTTCGATGCCATAGGGGGGACCAGAGTATGGAATCCTAGATTCTGAAGACCTCTGGGGCAACACAAGGAAGCCAACTTCATCGCCCTCTCGTCCCTGCTACACTCTCTCTTCCTTCCTAACCAGGGCCAAGATACCCTCATCTGGGCCCCCACTCCTTCATGTTCTTTCTCAGTCTCATCTTTCTACAAAGTTCTTCATGCCCAAGCCAGCTCTTTGTCCCCTTCGATTGTTGCCCGGGCCTGGTCTAATCTCTCTCCCCCTAAAGTGAGATGGTTCACGTAGATACCGTGCTCGGAAAGAGCCCTAACGGTGGACCAGCTACAACGGAGAGGCTTTCTACTCCCTAACAGATGCATTGTGTGCTTCAACAAGGAGGAATCTAATCCTCGTCTCTTCCTTCATTGCCCCCTTGCTGAGGCTCTTTGGGCGGATATACTGCACCTTTTTGGATGGCAGTGCATAACTCCAATCCATCGCTACATTCCAGCAGCTCTTCTCCCGTCCTTGGCCCAAACGAGGGCTGCTCCTACGGCGGACAACAGTATTGGCCTGTTGTGGACCTTATGGAAAGAGAGAAATTGCAGAATCTTCCAAGGCAAGATTAAATCACTCGACTACCTCACCGACTTCCTTAGAGCTTCCATTATTTGCTGGGCCAAGAACAGCGAGGTCTTTAAGCACGCCTTTACCTCGGACTTCCACCAAAGCTGGCGGACCCTCATCTCTCTTTGCCCCACTATCACTTCCCACTCCTCCTTCTGGCGACCTCCCAATCCAGATCAAATCAAATTAAACTTCAATGGTTGTTTATCGGGTAACCCGGGCCTGTCAAGGGTAGGAGGCTTATTTCAAGACTCAATGGGGAATACTGTGTATTCCTATTGCAACCACATTGGTATCACGGATTCAACAATAGCGGAGGTCACTGCACTCCTTGAAGGCCTTGGAGCTTTCAACCCCAGCTTGGAAACCTTCCCTCATCATTGACGGGCACAACCGCAATGTTATTGAGTGGGCCTCAGGAGCGGCACCCTGTCCTTGGAGATTGCAGTACCTCTTCGATGAAATCTTCTTTTGCTGCTCAGCCTCACAAATCTCATGGAGACGTACTCAGAGGGATGCCAACTCCGAAGCCGATGCACTTGCCAAAGACGGAGCCTCATCAACTCTTTCATCAACTGGAACTTTTTAGTTTTTCACTGCCATTCTTCTTTGCGTTTGCTATAGTGTACATGCAATACACCGTTTGATTACCCCTTCAGAGGGACTCAGTTTTTGGAACGCATGAAGTTCTAGTGTAGGGCCTCATTTTTGTAGGGGCCCCTGCTCTTTTCTTTGCTCATTTCCCAATCTCAAAACAAAGGTAAGCATTCTTAAAAACAAAAAACAAAATAAATAGAAAAAAAAATTATTTTTATTGGGGGAGAATGGCGATAGAGAGAGAAAGAGGATTTGGGGGAGAGGGGTTGGGGGAGAGAGGCGAGAGAGTGAGAGGGAGAGGGTTGGGGATTGAGGTGAGAGAGAGAGAGAGAGAGAGAGAGAGAGAAGAAAAGACTATCTTTAAGAAAGAAATAA